TCTTCCTGTCGCACTTCTTGCATGTCTTCTTCGGCGCGCTCCCGTACGGCGCCTTGGTTCTCTTTGCAGTCATCTTTGGAAATGTGAATTATAAACGAGTGCTAAACTTGATTGGTCAATATATTTGTCTATTTAAGTGGTTCTCTTATTGGACGAAAATATTTTTATTTTGGTTGTTTTGTTGTTGCACCAGGGAAAGAAGTGGTAACCCCGAAGTAGTGTTGATTGGGAAAAATGGAGACAAATACAACTTTTGGAGTCTGTCCAGACATTCGAAAACCTAATTACGATTTTTACGGGTGTGTTGATAAAAATGGGTGGGTACTCCATTTCCTATGGAATACCCAAATCACGGACTTGCCGGGTGTAGATTTACGTTTGCCTCAAGGTAGTTAAAGCTTTCACTTTTGCTATTGCATCCTTCACCTCATGACCAATATCCTACATATCTCCCTGTCCCCGCAATGGATCATATGCTTGTATCGCCCCCAAATATGCTGTTGCCTTGATTGCCTTCAAGTCGACATCTTCAACACCTGCTGGAAGGTCTTATTCAGAGTCTGATCGTCGCGGTGGACGTCTCCAAGATCCCGTCTGGAACGGAAAATAATTAATACCTGTTAACTCTTCCCCTACTGACCTGTTGGTCCTTCACAGCCCCTGCTGGCCTGTTGTCCACCCTGGTGACCTGTTGCATATCAACAGGGAATCAGTACAGCATACGCGGGACTGTCCCAGACATATCGATTCCGTGAGTCTGACGAAGTCTTGTAACTCGAGGTGAGTACCATCTTCATGCAATACGTGCACTAACATGTCGACAAGGTGATATGAATTGAACTCAATCTCACGAGCTTCTCGTTACGAGTATATAGCTAATTTCTACTATTTTTGACCATAGGAGCTAAGGAAAACACCGCCTAACGAGAGTTTTGGCTACTTACCCTTTGATCGCACATGCTGGTAGATAGCATCATCTCCGAACTAACGACTTGGACATTTGCTTCAGCAAGCAACCGATTACATGGGAGTCTGAGA